GATGTTTCTCCAAGCATCATATAAAAGTGTTCCAGAATAAAACGAAGTGCAAATGCGATCCGCTTGTTTGAAGCCGCTGAACAGTCAGCAAGACTTACGGGCAAATCATAAAATTCAGTCAAAATAGAACACATCAATGTACAGTTTCTCCCTGGTGACTTTGGAGAAATTAAAGCCATTATTACGAAGAGAAACATTGATATCATCTATTGTTAATTAGTTTTCATGTTTATAGGTGAGATGTAGGGCGAGATCGAGATATTCGCAAAAAAAAAAAAAAAAAAAAAAGTAAGAGATACCCTTAAAGTAAGATCTAAACTACAGCTGTAGATATAGCAGTTATAGGGGTCATCTAAGTAACTGTACAAAGCAGTATGTATCATCCCTTCAATTTTGGTGTAATAGTGGAACATCCTCATCCTACAGTAGAACCATTTCTCCTGCTCCTTTCTCTCTCTCTCTCTTTCTCCTGCTCTTTCTCTTCTCTCCCCCTCTCCTCCTCTCTCTCTTCTCTCTCTCTCTCTCTCTCTCTCTTCCGGCTCTCTGTCTCTGCCTTCCTCTCCTTCCTCCCTTCCTTCCCTTACCCCACCCTCTCTCTTCTCTTCTCTCTCTCTCTCTCTCTCTCTCTCTCTCACTCTCTCTCTCTCTCTGTCACCCTTGCGTGTAAGCTTCCGATAGCGGGCAGTTTAAGGACCGCATGTTAGTCTTGTCAACTGAAAAAAACAAAACAAAACAAAACAAAAATTAGAGGAAANCTCAATTACACTGTTATTATATGTTTCCATTATCAACTGTAGTCTATTATTTCTTTTTTTTCACATCTTTAAATTTTCAATTTTACATCTTCATTTTATAGGGGTAAGGACGTTGCCCAATTCTTCTTTTTAAGAACTATAAATACAGTAAAATAAACCAAACCAATGGATAAAACGAATAGTAAACCAAAGACTTAAATATAAGCGCTTAAACCCTGAGATCCCCTCAAGTCTTGTTAATACTCCTTCTCAAAGGTTTGTGACAAATGCATATAACGCAATCCTAACTGGTCCTCTTACAAAACATGAAATATAACATTTATCTTTTCTCTCTTGTAGGGAAAATCGAAGACAAACAGAGTTCCCAAACAGGAGACGTTCAGTGAGGCCGGCGCGCTCCGTGAGCAGCACTGAACTGCCGAGCCAACAACCCAAAAGAGAGAGTTTAGCATAAACAGGCTCTTTAATATAGGCTCTTATAAAATGTGTAAATATTAAAAATGAATGAAAATAAAGAAGTTTACTTTACACAATTAAACGAAATTAAAATAAAACTAGAGGCCGTGAGAAAAAGCTAAAATAAATAAAACAAAAATACGAAAAATAAAAGGCTCCAGGGACGCAAAACTGCAGCTGGCTACCGCCGATCCCCACAGATGGTGCTGGTGCTGGCTAGAAAAGGGGGACTCGCCTAGTCTGGACTCCTGCTTAGTGGGGGGTACCTCACGTCCACTACAGACTCGTTGCGGTCGCATCAGCTTTCATGCTCCTCCCATCCTCGCAGTCTCGAGGTTAGCCGAGGGCACCACCGTTGCCATGGGCGATAAGTCCGTGCACGGTGGAGCCGCAGATGCCGCCTGGCAGGCTGCCCCCTACCCCTCCTCCCTCGTTAGCCGAGCGCAACCCGCAGCCCAGGCATGGCCACCCTTGCTGGCGCGGAACTGGCCCGCCAGTTCCACACCAAACAGGTGAATCATGCCATGGCTGCGGCGAGCACAGATGGCGCGGGGCCTCCCCTCGCCAGCCTTTTCCCGCCTTTTCCGACTCCAGTCATCTATCCCCCATCTATTATCCCGCACGCTGGGTTAAGCCCCGGCTCTTTCTCTCCCACTAAATCATCCTTTCTATCCCTCCTTATCCTTCCCCTCTCCCTCCTTCCTTCCCCCCCTTCTCTCTCGATTTCGATTTCGATTTCGAAGCGATCGGGAAGGGCTTACCTGGACCTCTAGTGCTTTCGTGGGAGGCTAAAGAGAGCGATTTGACACCCCCACGGCGAGCTCGACGATCTGGCCCTTGTGCTGATAACTTTGGGTGTTATCGTGCACTACCTTGCTTTGAGGCTAGTGATTCTAATTGTAAGCCCAGGGTGCTTGCTATTAAAATCACGAAGCACTATCAAATCAGCTCTTTTACTGCGAGGTGTCGGCCGGACATGTAAGGGCTCTGGCCCGTTCGGCAGGGTCCCGACCCCGACCGACCCTAACACACAAAGAGAGCTGTTGTTGTTGTTGTTGTTGTTACATTCGCTAGCCATGCAAGAATGAGGAGTGCGGCATGACTAGCCCGGGTTACGCGTATGCCACCCGGAAGAGTAACTGGAGAAGTGGTGGTGATGGCTATCTGTCGTGATAGACATGAGATATATGATTTTTTTTTTTTTTTTTTTTTTTTTTTTTTTTTTTTTTTTTTTTTTTTTTTTTTTTTTTTTTTACTTTTTTTTTTTTAGTAGCAGTAGTACTATAATATCATCTAGGAGGAGGGTCTCTGGTGAAGACTAATAGTGAGTCTGGGAGACTGAGCATTTCCACTAGGCATCTGGCAGCTGTAGATGCAAAGTGGCTTTCATCTTGTCGGTTGTTGCTGTGGAATTTCCTGGGTCGGAGATGTTGGATGCTTGGGCAGTCTAGTACGTAGTGTATCAGGGGTTCTTGAGTGATTGTGTCGCACAATGTACAAGGCTTGGGAACCCGCATGTCAATCTCCCAATTGCAGCGGTAACCCAAGCGAAGTCTGTGAAAGATGGCAGCGGTGTTTCGTGAGAGGTTGTTGACAAGGAAGGGGGATTGCATTCAGTAACTATCTTGTACCAGCTTGCGGATGGTGAGCCTGCAATGACCCATGCACGGTGCTCGATGAGGAGAGTTTCGTAAGCGGCTCTCCGTACGTGCTTCTTCAGCTGGCTGAGGCTTGGAGGAATGTGGCCTGTGACTAAGAGGTTCTTGAGGCTGTTTTTAGCAGCAGTGTCAGCTAAATCGTTGCCTGTGATATTGACATGGCTTGGTATCCACCAGAAAGTTAGGATTTTCTCCTGTTCTTTTAGTTGTCGTATATGGAACAGGACTGTTGAGATAAGCCTTAAGTTGTCTGTGGCTTGGGTTCTCCTTAGAACCTGTAAGGCTGAGAGGGAGTCTGTGAATATGTGGATGGTTGAATGTGTTTGATACAGTGCATATTTTAGTGCCATTTTGATGGCATATAATTCTGTTTGTAGAGTGGAAGCTCCATTTGAGACTCGACGTGCAACACTGGTTCCGTTGGTAATAAAGGCTGCTCCTGCTTTGCCATTTGTTTGATCGACCGAGCCGTCAGTGAATAGTAAGAGAGCTTCTGGTTGTCTGAGTGAATTTGCCTCCAGTTGAGCAATCATGGCCGGAGTGCAGAGAGCTTTCTTGGTGGGAATGGTATCGGTTCGGATATTTGCTTCCCAGTCTCTCCATGGTGGATTAGGTTGATAGTGTGGGTGCACACTATCTATGCCTCTTGCGGTTAATATTGGAAGGGTGTTTAAGGAGTGGAATGCCTTTACTAACTGGCCGTGCCATCTTGCACTGTGGCATAGTTCTTGGTTGTTGAGTAGATGGTTGATTGACTTCAAGGGGGAAGGTCTTGTTGATGTTATAATTTTCGAGCAGAGACTAACGGACAGTTGCTGAGTCCTATTATGGAGAGATGTTAAATATGTTTCTACTCGAAGATTGGCAAGCCTTGTCCATGTAGGTGCAGCAAGGATGGTCCTCATGGCTCGGTTCTGTATTGTTTCCAGGGAAGCTAGTTGATCAGGTTTTAAAGTCAGGAGTGCTGGTGCGCTGTAATCAACTAAGGATCTTATGGCATGTGTGTAGAAGAGGCGTAATACCTTGAACCCAGCGCCTAATTTGGAGGATGTGAGTCTTCGTAGAACATTTAAGCGGGACTGTGTGCTTCTTAATAGGAAACGAAGGTGTGTGGTAGCTGAAAGTTCAGAGTTGAAGAAGATGCCGAGGCATTTATAGGATGGGACCCACTCAAGTGGTATGTTGCCAATATAGAGTTGGTGATATGCAACTATCCTGTTTACCTGGAGTGCTTTAGATTTGTCGGGGTTAACTTTGAGTCCCAGTTCTTTGCTTTTTGCTTCAATTGCGTCAAGTGCTGATTGGGCATTGATATGTCGGTTTGGACCTGTGGCCACGAGTTGTATGTCATCAGCATATGCTAACAAGTGTACATTTGCTGGGAATTGAATTGTCATTAGGTTGGAAACCAGGATGTTGAAAAGGAATGGACTTAGGAGACCTCCCTGAGGGGTTCCATTCTCAAAGTTGTAAGAGTTGGACAGATGACCCTGGAATCTGATTTTAGCAATCCTGTCGGTCAGGTAGTCCTGTAGCCAGCAGAGGAGTTTACCCTTCAGGCCTTTCTCTGCTAATGAAGAAAGGATGGCATCTTTGTTGGCGAGTTCAAAAGCTTTTTCGAGGTCCAGAAATACTACAATACTGTCCTTTCCATCTAGAAGGGAAAGGAGAGTGATGATGTTGTCTCCTGTGCCTGCACCTTTCTGGTATGCATAGATATGCGGTGGAATTTAGGAATGATGTGTTGAAGTCTGTTGAGTACGGCTCTCTCCATGGATTTCCCTACACAAGACAGGAGGGAGATTGGCCTGAAGGAGTTTGATTCTTTCTTGGGAATGGGCTGAATTATAGCTTGCTTCCAATTCCTTGGTAATGTGCCATCTTGTAATGATTTATTAAAAATTTTGAGTAATGTACTTTTGCATTTGGGGCCTAAATGGCTAAGGAATGAGTAGGGGACTTTGTCCTCTCCAGGTGCAGTGTCTCTTTTGTTGACAATGGCCTGTGATAATTCTTGTTTGGTGAAAGGAGCATCGCTTGTAGCGTTAGTATTAATGGCCGTTGTGATTGTCTGTTGACGTATTGTCTGGAGTTGTTGTAATTTTCTAGAGATGTTGGGTGGCAGTTGAGCTGAAGCGCATCTTTCTGCAAATGTTGCACCTAATCTATTGGCTTCTTGGAGAGGCTCTGGGTGTATGGAGGACTTCAGTGTTTTTGCTCCAGATGCTGCACGGAGTTTACCCCATAATTCTCGGAGAGGTGTGTGGGCAGAGATGTTTTCACACCAAGTGAGCCAGGCTTTGTTTCTGATATCGAGGAGCTCTTGATTAACTAACCTCCTTAGGGTTTTGAAGGATTCATGGATATCTGGGGAGTTGGTTTTTTTAAGGAGGTTTCTGAACAAGCGCAGTCTGCGCTTTAATTCCCGGACTCGTGTATTGTAATACCAACTGTCCTTATGCGCATGATATGTGTGATTTATTTTGGGTATTGAGATATCTGCTGCTGCCTTAATAGCATCAATAAAATCCTGCTCTAATTGGTGAAGGTTATTTGCAGGAGTGTATCTCTCTGCCCAGTCCTCTAAGAGCTTAGTGAAGTGCGCCCAGTTAGCTTTTTTTAGGTTCCATCTTGTGACAGGTGGAGGAAGTGGTAGGCGTGGTAGCTGTAGAGTGGTGAAGGTGGCTAGGTGGTCTGACATAAGTCTGACCAGTCTGCAGTCGATACTAAAGAGTTGGAGAGGATGGTCAAGTCTAAGACTCCTCCTTTGGTGTGCGTAGCTTGTTTGGAGTTCAAAAGGGAAACATCTGGGAAGGAATCTAGAAGGAGCTTGATGTGTAGCCCTGCATCATTTGTTTTGTAAGCTGAGGAGGTGGTGGGGTCATTCCAGTTTGGGTGGTGAGCATTGAAGTCGCCTAGTATGATGGTCGGTTCATGTGCAGCTAATCTGAACAGTTCATCCATCTCTAATTCGCAGGTAGGATGTGGGGCCGGTATATATTGACATAAGTTGGATTCGTTTAAAGAGATCTGAATGCCAAGACATTCGATACGGGCTCCACATTCTGGTGCAGGTGTAATCAGCTGAGTGTGGAGGGAGTTCTTGGTAAATATGGATATACCCCTGTTTTGTCCAGGCATATAGTAAGAGTGAAAAGCATTGTAATTCTTGATATTACATGTGCTTGTTTCAGAGAGTAGGGTTTCTTGTAGAACAAGGATGTCAAAAGGATCCTCTGCGTTGGCTGTTAGAAGGGTGGCAAGATTGGCTTTTAATCCAAGAATGTTCCATTGTAGGATGCGTAAGGGTGAAGACGTTGAAAGAACTGTAGTACTATCCATTTGTGGGATATGTTGACGGTGTGTGGGCTGAAAGTTGGTAGTTGGCAGATTCTTTGTGATTGTCATGAGAGGTAGAGCTGGAGGTGTCTACCACAGGAATGACCACTGTAGAGGATTGAGATGGCTGCCGCTTGGCCGTAGGATTGATTGGTCCTGAAGTTGAAGGTTGTGGTAGAGGTGGAAAGTTGTCGGATGTCAGAGAAGTGTCGTTCATAGATTCCGCAGAAGTAGCAGGAGTGGCTTCTTGTGGTTCAGTGGATTCTTTTTGCGGTCGGGAGAGGGTGTGTCGTCGTGAGTAAGGCAGAGATGACATTGTCCACCAGGAGCTGGAGTATAGAAGGGTCCACTGATCTGCCTAGAGCTAGGAGGCCAAGCTGGATCGTATTCGCCAAGAACTTGCTGATGGCAGAGTCATGTGGGGTGGGAGATGTCATTGCGGAGGTAGCACCTTGAAGTGTGGCCGGAATTGGCTGAACAGGTCTGACAGATGTCTGAGGAGTGCTGAGTTGTGGTGAACTAGGTGGTTGGAGAGCGCCAACTGCGCTTAGAGCAGTAGAGTTGTGGAGAGGAGTCGGTTTGCGTGTGGGAGGATTACTCCAGTTGTGCAGTTTCCTAGGGAAAGTCCTTTGTGCTGAAGGTCCGTTGGTGTTTCGCTTTTTGGTAAAAGAGCCCGTCTCTTCTCACATCTGAGGTTCCACGCATGGTGGTTGCCTCCACAGTTCGGGCATTTGGCCTCTGTTTTTTCCCCAGCTTTCAGTTTGGACAAACAGCCTTCTGTGGCATGAGGTTGGGCACAAATGGCACAGCGTGGGGAGGCTCTGCATTTGGCTTGATGATGACCAAACTGCTGGCATTTAAAACAGCGAAGGGGCTCGGGGATATATGCTCTTGTTTGGAATTTTCCAAAATACCCAGATTGATCTCTGGTGGCGGGGTATCATTTGTGATGAGAAGGACTTGACGTGTCTCCTCCTTGGTGGTTCTAGATACACATCTGGTTGCCGAAACAACAAAGGGTAGGTCAGTAAGTCGTTGTAGAGGGAAGCCTATTGGAAAGCGTTCCACAATAGATTTGAAGGTCCTGGGTGGAGTCGTGTGGGGCAGTATGTTAACCACTTTTCCGGATGACAGGGTACGGAGTGAGTTTAAAAGATCTTTTGTAGATTCAGTGTTGGCTGAAAGAATGAAGTCTCCGTCTTTGGTGATGGAGGTGGTAGCATCAATGAATGGAAACTCCTTTTCAATGGCAAACAGTGAATCAACTGCAGTGTCAAAGTCTCTGGAGCTTGTGATGCGGAACTTGGAAGTGCTAGGCTGGTCAGGTGCTTGCAATGGTCTTGAGGTAGGGTCTGCGGAGGCTTCCATATCTTCACTAGTTTCTTCTTCTTGAAGTGGATGGCAGTCAGGGTGGGAGGAGTCATTTGGAGTATGCGAGTCTGGAGTAGATTCCAGTGAGGCGCGACGGGCTTTCTTGGTCGAGGTAATGTCTTCGTTAGAAAGATCTGGTTTCAACATGTCGTCAGGGGACTGGGTCGTCTCAGGGGAAGTCGTCCTCTTCTTCCTCGTTGATTCGTCAGTCGTTGGCGAGTTGTCGGGGGTTCAGAGTGAGGATCCATCGGAACTTTCTTCTGAGGTCCTTTTTTCTTCTTACCAGGCTTCGACATCGAGAATTGTTGGAACCGCCTACCTAAGCTCCCTAGTTTTTAAACCTACTGGTGAATGCCAGCGAGCATTCACCCCAGGGAGTCCCTAACCCTAGCAAAGAAAAAACAACCCTTCTCTGAGGTTTAAGGCAGTCTGACTACAGACCCCCCTTGTGGCACTGCCCGCAGGGTTCACCTTCACCTCAGAGGGGACTCTAAGTTGGTTCCAATCAATTCCGAGTTTACTTCATTCGAAAGCGGTAGATCTCTTCTCTTCCGATGTGGAAATCTCCTAATCTTCTACGGTCGTTTCGTTGAAGAAGTTGGAAAAAAGTTGGCTTGTTCCTTTACTGACTGCATTCTTGGCCAGTTCCCAGAGACTGCAAATCTTCGAAGTGGCATGAAAGTCACGCTCTTAGCATTGACGAGTGACGGACTGGCATGAAGGTTAGCACAGAAGGGGGTGCAGCTCGCACCCGATGCCGTGAAGCCTTTTCCGGCAAGTGCTTTCCAAGAACAAGCGAAGAGCGAAGCGAAGAAGAGAGAGGGATTCCACCTCAGGTCCGGCGGCTTAAGTACCTGACCGGCGATGTTAGCTCGGCCGATTAGAGCGGTCCCGAAGCAGGGGTCGGCCAATCACAGGTCAGGTGCAGTTCTAGATTGATGGCCAATCAGGAACCGCTACAGCACTCCCCCTGAAGGGCTGCTGCAGGTGTGCGGGTTTGGCGCGGTCGATGGTCACGGTGTCTTCTCCCTTTGGCGGCGGATGGTGATCGTCTTGTCGCCTCTTCTGATGACCGGGAATGGACCCTCGTACGGAGGACAGAGAGGAGGTCTGGGATGTTTTCTCACGAAGACGTGAGAGCAATCCTGGAGTCCTGGAGGCATGTATATGTACTGCTGTCGGTGGGTCTCGTCGGTCGGCTGCGTACCCGGGCCATTCGTTCGCAGAGTTGTTTGCCGAAGGTCCCGGGTTTGAAATTGCTGGCTGTGACAAGGAAATCTGCAGGGAGGGCGAGCGTTGTCCCGTAGACCATTTCTGCGCTGGTGCACTGCAGGTCCTCTTTGAACGACGTCCGGATGTTGAGGAGGACATGAGGTAGTTGGTCGACCCATCTCCTGTTAGGGGAGGATGATGTTAGGGCCTGCTTCATATGCGGTGGAGTCGCTCGACCATGCCGTTGGCGCAGGGATGGTAGCAGTCGTCCTGATTCTTTTGGACCCGAGCAGGATCATTAGGTGGCGCCAAAGTTCGGACTCGAACTGGGCGCCGCGGTCTGTAGTGACGGTTTCCGGGGTGCCGAAGCGGGAGATCCAGGTATTGAAGAAGGTCTTGGCGACTGTCGCTGCGGTGATGTCGCGGATGGGCGTAGCCTCGGGCCATCTGGTGAAGCGGTCGATCATTGTCAGGATGTAGCTGTAGCCGTCGTCCATGGGCAGGGGTCCCACTATGTCTATGTGGACGTGTTGGAACCTACTGTCTGGAATAGGAAAGGTCTGGAGGGGGATTTGGGTGTGCCTGTGGATCTTGTTTCTTTGGCATTCGATACAGGAACGACACCACTGCCGAACGTCCTTGTTGATGGCGGGCCAGACGACCTTGCTGCGGATGAGGTGTTGGGTGGCCCGGATGGCGCGATGCTGGTGGTAGGCATTGAAGAATCGCCGGCGAGGGAAGGCGGGATGTATGGGCGAGGGTAGCCGAGGGAGACATCGCAGAGAAGGTCGTCGAAGTTTTCGGGATTTGACTCTCTCAAGGTAGAGGGAAGTCTGGCCCTCTAGGAGTGGAGTCAAGGACGTGTCCTGGCGTTGCTCTTTGCTTACTAGATGGTAGTCCACTGCGTCGTCGGCGAGAGTCGCAGCAGATATGGTCACCCTCGACAGAGCATCGGCGGCCTCATTGTCCGAGCCCCGAATGTGGCGGAAGTCCGTTGTGAACTGGGAAATGAAGTCCAGGTGGCGCTCGTCACGAGGGATTGGCGGCGGGTCCTCGAGTGTAAGGCGAAGGGGGTTTGTGGTCCGTCAGGATGTGGAATTCCTTAGCCTCCACAGACGGCTGGAAATGCCTCACGCGGAGTATGCTGCCAGGAGCTCCCTTCCGAAGGCACTGTACCGTGACTGGCGTGGCGACAGGGTCTGCGAAAAGAAGGCAAGGGGGTTGCCATTGCTTACCCTGGCGTTGCTGGAGGACCGCACTGATGGCAGTGTCGGAGGCGTCGACCGCTATGCTGAGGGGAGCCTCGGGCAGCGGATGGTTAAGCAGGTGTGCAGCGGCAAGGGCTTGTTTGCAGGCTTGGAAGGCTTCGTTAGTCGGGGATGTCCACTCGACTCTGGTGTTTCTGCTGGCCTTGTTAGGTGTGATCAGGGCGTGGAGGGGCTTGAGAAGCTGGGCACACCCGGGACGAACCTTCCGTAGAAGTTAAACATGCCCAGGAATTTCCGCAGCTGCTTCTCCGTCGCTGGCCTGGGGGAACTTCCTTATAGCGATGACCTTCTCCTGCGCTGGGGTGATGCCTTGGGGGGTGACGGTGTGGCCGAGGAAAGAGAGGGAAGCGACACCGAACTGGCATTTTCCCGGGTTGATAACGACGCCCGCGTCTTGCAGTCTGCCGAAGAGGGCGAGGAGATGGCGGGCGTGGTCTGCTTCTGAGATGCTGGCGACGAGGATGTCGATGTAGGCGAAGACGCCCTCAAAGCCGCGAGTCACGTCGCTGGAAGGTCTGGGCGGCTTTCCGAAGACCGAAGGGCATCCTGAAGAATTCAAAGAGGCCGAAAGGTGTGATCACGGCCGTCTTGGGGATGTCCTCTTCAGCGATCGGGATTTGGTGGAAGGCCCGCACGAGGTCGATCCTGGAAAAAAACGTACAGCCAGACAGCTCGTGGGAGAAGGAGTGCAGGTGCGGCAGGGGTATCTGTCGGGGGCGGTGATCGTGTTGAGGTGACGGTAATCACCGCACGGGCGCCAGTCACCATCCTTCTTCTTCACCAGATGCAGAGGGGCCGCCCATTGACTGCTGGAAGGGCGTATAATCCCCAACTGCATCATATGGTCGAACTCCGCCCTGGCACTGCGACATCTGTCGGGGCGAGCGGACGGCAGCGAGAGTGGGGCAGGGGACCGTGGGTGACGATGTGGTGTCGGACTTCTTGCCGTGGTTGGGTGGCCCGGTTGATCGGCTTGGTCAAGGCCGGGAATTCCCGCAGGATGTTCTTGAAGGCGCAGGTCCTGGGAAGCACTGTATATATTAGGGGGGTACTTACCAGAACCGGAGCAGCGGTGTCGGTGCGGGCCCTCGCCTGTTCGGTGGATCAGGGCTCATACTGAGAGAGACTCTCTATACCTCTCGGAGACGTTCATAACGTCTACCTAGTAACGCTGCTATCACATCTCCTAGCCCTCAGATCCATGTAGTATCCAATCACATGCGCTCTCTGGACGCTCTCTGGACAGTAGTCCGGTCTAATCTTACCGTGATGTAGTTCGCCAGCAGATAGTATCGCTGTGCCTCAGTGAATATGTAAAGATGTGTGCAACGTTCATCGGTTGTATGTGAGCGTCGATAGAAATTCGCATCTACGGAATCGTATTGGGGCGGGCCTCTGCGCTATCCAGCAAGAGGGTCTCGAACGCTTCGGCCGGTTAAGTGTGATGGCCCGATCAGATGTGTTGTGCAGCTTCCAGAGTGCCGGTGTAGGAGTGGAATGGTCTGTATATCTCTTGGAGGCCGAGAGGAGGCTGACCTCTGCCCCCTGTTGTCTGACGTAGGAAGCATAGGCTCATGATGACTAGTTGTATTCCTGGTCTTGGCCCATCTGCGTGAGTCCTGCTTCAACTTTATTTATTCTGGAACTTGTCGAGTCTGATGTGATGAATACTGATACTAATAAGGATTGAAGCCGATCTGTGAAGAATTATGGTATCTTCTAGTCTAATTATTAACGTAAACAGAACTACCTCCTTTTAAGACTCTGTGTCCAGTCGCCTTCAGATCGTGACTTCATCTGATATCTAGGATCTACTATATCTTATCGAGTATCTGAATCGTAGAGTTGAGTATTAAATTATTTAACTGAAAATTCCTGAC